TAGAAAATACGAATAAAAAAGAATAAGAAAGTGACTTTTGATTCTATAAAATAGAGAAATTGAAAAGAGAAGTGAGTTTTGATGAACCCTTAAAATAGTGATGTAGAATATAAACAAATAGTTTTCATAGCTACCTAAAATATAAAAATAGGTTAAAGACATAAATTTTGATGAATTTCTAAAAGAAAGGTTAGATTAGATAAATCTAATAGAGAAGTGAATTTTAGATAATTACGTAAAGTTGAAAATACCAATAGGAAAAGAACAGAAAATTGAATTTTGATAATCGTCTAAAATAGGGAGTACAGAAACAAATAAAAAAACGCACTAGAGAAGTGAATTTTAATGATCACTTAAAATGGAAAAATATAATAGTTTTGAAAAGTATCTAAAATAAAAATTAAGAAAAGTAGATTAGGAACAGCATAGATAAAATAGAGAAGTTAATTTTAATAATCACCTTAAATAAAAAAGATATTAATATAATAGAGAAGTGAATTCTGATGATTATTTCATGTTGGTACGAAGTCCTGAACATAATACGTTAATTCGCACTATTTTCTCTATGTTTTCGAGTTTGTTAGACCTGCAAATTATTCACGAATAATTTAATAATAGGACAAGATAGTTTTCATTAATTTGTTTCTTTAATTGGATAAATAAACGAATTAAATCGCTCTTTTGCACTTCGTGCAGAACCCTAAGAAATTTCTGTTTTTCATTCACGCATAAATTGAATAATTTGAACAATAATGTTAAATCGATTCTCGTTAGTGTAAAAATATATTTTTCACTTTCCGTAGGGTAAGTTATTGTAATCATCCAAAAATCGAAATTGAAAATTTTTACATTTCTTCACATTTTGAAGGTTTCTGAACATTTTGGCATACCTCAGAAAAAATTGACGTGTGTGTGTATGTATGTATGTATGGATACAATTTTTTGTCCACGTCCGGGCGCACGGATCAACCGATTGGAATGATTCAAAAAACTATAGTTTTTGGCAAAAGCAGATCCAGCCGTTTCGAGAAATGACAATTTGTAATGACGGGAAGAAGTGGTGATTAGTTTTTGGCAAGGGCAGGTCCAGTGGTTTTGGAGATACAGAGAAAAATGTGCAAAAAATGGCAGTTTTTGAGAGAACTAAGCGTCTGATTTGAATGATTCAAAGAACTTTCTGCTTGTTTTAACAAAATAATTGCTTTTGGAAAAAAAAATTTTGGTCAATTTTTTTTTCAGGTTTTTTTTTCAAAAAAAATTTTTTTTTATGTATATCGAAAGTTCTGATATACTTTAAACAAATAGTTTCAACTTTGCAATTCAGTTTATAAAATTCTTATAAATATTAGACAATGTTACAGTATTTATTTATAATAATCTATTTGAAAACATTTAATATTCCTCGAACATTTCGTTACGCTACGGGAAGTTCCAGCAATTTGTCTTAAGACATGATGCTATATACACCACTAGTTTTTCTTCTGTATTGACAGAAATTTATTTATTTATTTATTTATTTATTTATTCATAAGCAAGCCGTAATCAATAATAATAGATATTATATCAGGCTCAATATAATTATTATCAATATCATTCTAGATAGCGATAATTTTAATTAAATTAACTAAAATAACGATAAAAAATTTACAAAAATACTGATATATAGATTAAAGTATTTGCAATATGCATTTTACATTGATAAACTAAATGTACTGAGAAAAACCCTGATAAAAGTGAGTAACTGCATTAGTAATTACATGATGATTAATATACAAGAAATCAATAATCAGTAAAGTAATATCTTGTGAAACATGGCTATAAGTCTATGAGTAATTTATTTTGAATACAACTGCAAAACAGATATGAAATCGAATATTTATATATATAATTTTTATATATTTTATATCAATTTGTCAGAAATGTGGCGAAATTTTAATACACACTGATTGTTTTATCATCAGACCGCAAAATGATGATGGGACAATTTTATTTAATAACTTATAAACGTATTGTAATTTTTCAAATTCCCGCGACGATTTTCGTGTTATTTGGGCCGTGAAGCACAAGTGTCAACGAATTCGGATAATTGTGCCGAAATTGCGGTTTTTCCATGAGAAACATATACAAGTACCAATTTGTTAAATATATGAATTATTTTTAATGTGAATCTTGTAAAATTACGAGAATCTAATTACAAGTAGTGGGACACGAAAATAAACATTCGTGGAATAAATAGATTAGCGACATCTACTATGATCAAATAGTATTCAATTACGATTAGACCAAATGAAATTCGAGTCCTATCTTTTTAGAAGGGTCTAATTTGGCAATTAATATAAGCTAATTCACAGAAGTTTTTTTAATAATATGCTTTTTGTTTGCTGATTTTTTGGGGTTAGCTTCTACATAAAATTTCTGTCTATGAAAGTATTATTAACTCCCATAGGATAAGCTATAGTAATGAGCCAAAAATTGGAGATGAATATTTTTGCATATCTTTACGTTGCATATCTTAAAGTTTTTGAGGTTTCTGAACATTTTGGCATACTTCAGAAAAAATTGATGTGTGTGTATGTATGGAGACAATATTTTGTCGACGATTTTGTAAATGTAATAATAAATAATAATTTTTGAATATCTAAAGTTCTAAACATCACTTACATACCTCAAATAAATAATTTTAACTTTGCAATTCCGTTTATATAATATACTTAAAAATATTAGACAGTTTTGTTTATTTACTATTTATGAAATAAGAATAATGAAAGTTACATTATTTATAATAATCTATTTGAAAACATTTAATATTTCTCGAATATTTTCTTAAGGTACGGGAAGTTCCAGCAATTTGCCTTAACACACGATGCAATACACCACTAATTTAATTGGAATTTGCTATTAATAATATAACCTTTTTTTAAAAAAAAATTATATCTTTTAATATTTAAAGATTTTAGTTTGTAAAATGGTAACTCATGGGTATCTTCCAACTTTTTGATAATATTTTATATTATCAAATAGCTTGGAGTTACTATTTTTTTATTATTTTTCATTTTTTTATTTAATAGCAATCAGAACTTGAAGAACCCTGTGAGCTGTTGTGCAGATTTCTTAAATAACATGGCTTATTTATCTTGGCTTAGCTATTTCTATGGAATGAATTTATTATTACAGTTCTAAAATAATGATGATTTTTTTAACATATTGGTATCTATATTTCCAAGTGAAAGCCAATGCCACTACTTTAATATGAGGCTAGTGTTAAACCTGGAACTTCTCATTTAAATCCCATAGCTCTAACCACTAATCGACGATAGAATTCAAAGGACAACAAAATGATATTTATCAACTTTTAATTTTAGGCAGATTACATCTTAATAATTCTCATCATATATTTATTAAATTTAATATATTTTGATTCTAATTTTATTTGTTTCTTTCGTTCTGCTCCATCATTTTAACTGATAAAGATGTAATTTTATTGGTATAAACAACAAAAATTTAGAAATCTAAAAAAATCTGAGAAATTAGTAATAACTAGAAATGAGTTGTAGGCAATTTTAAACTGACTGATTATAAGTTCTTTATAACTTCCTGTAAGGCCAGTTGTTGAAATTGCAAAAATCTTAATATGTTATTTAATAATTTGGCATAGTGTTATATTTATGCATGTACTAGTATGTATTTATACATGTCGAATCTGCCTATTGATCACATGAGAACGTTGAACTAATTAGTTGGTGCAAAAAAATTTCAAATCATATTTTTAATGAATCCATATAAAGGGAAGACTGGGTAAAGTTGTGCCACTTTTTTTTGATCAGCCATTACCTAGGAGAAAAGTAAATTAAATGGTAATTTGAACATTTGCCTAAGTGGAAATACTGAAATACTGTCTTGAAATACGATGTATCAGTCATAAAATCAAATCATACAAAAAAAGGGCAATACAGCGATTGGGGTCAGTAGTGACAGTTATAAAAATAAATTAAAAACAATAAGTATAAATACCAAAATGGTCTATAACGACTTTTATTGTCGTTAATAACAATAATATGTAATAATGTACACAGCACAGCATAAACATTTAAACAAAGCTTATGAATAAAATATAATAACAAAACATAACTTTTTAAACAAAGTTAACAAGAATTTTTGGTGAAATCTTTTTTATTCTTATATTAAATTTTTCTATTACTTGCTGTTGCGTATTTTGTCTTAGTTAAATTAGATTTTTGATTTTTTTATCTGTTTAATCGTCACCCGAAAAGGACAAGAAATACATGTCACAACCGTATCCCAAAATTTGTCACAACCGTACCCAACGGACACTTTTGAAAGCAAATCATTATTTTGAGTTAAATTATCTACCTGTGAGTAAAAACTAATTGCTGGTAAATAACTACTAATGATCAACTTATAGCAGAATAACAAAAAAGTAATCTATCTGTATACAATTACCAGTTATGATTAAAAGAATTCGAACATGAAAACTTACTTTTGACTCTTTAAAAGCAATGCGGTCTACAGATCATATGTTAATGTAAGGCACTGACTGAAAACGATAATGGAATCTTGTTCTAGCAATCATTCTTCATCTTTCTCGATTTGGACCCTATCTCAAAATCAGTATAGTTCAGCTGTTATGAAGACTGTCACTTTAGTATACTGGCACAACCGTACCCAATCTCCGCTATCTATATTCAAATGCACGAATGAAATCTTACATCTTATGTGATTATTTATTGAATAAGACAGAATATTTAAAATTTTCACCTGAGTTTATATGTTCTTATTAGGATTTGGTGAATTGTTAGGTCATTGATGTCATATACTCCTGATGATGATGTACATATTTCTAAGTACTAAGATTTTATTGATCAAGTTATTATGAAATATGAAATTGGTATCATAACATGTTGCTATCAAATAACATTTGTTTACATATTATTTTTAATAATATAATAAATGATTTTTTAATAAAAATCTTAAATTTTTAGGCATAACGTCTTCGAAGAAGCCACCAGTGGTGGAGACATGCGAAAAGGCTAAATCGATCATGGAGAAGTTTGAGAAAGGAGAAGCATTTGTAAGCGCACGCGAAAATGATCAGGAAGCTAAGGGTATCGAACAGGAGGACATGTCCGTATTTGACGCTGGTGAGTTTTGATAAAAAGAGTTAATTTAAAGAGTTAATTACGCTTTTTCAAGATAATGGAAATTGCTGAAACTCTGTTGTTTTTTACGACGAATATGCAATAATAATTAATAATAAGTATAACCTGGTTATTTATTTTTTTAACGTACCAAGTATTGTCTGCAGTGTTTTCAGTATTATTACTTTTTCAAGAATATATTTATTGCAATTAACAAATTATTTCTGTTTGTGCCGAATATCTAAAATTATAATGAATATAAAATAAATTATATAAAATTTTTAGTGAATGAGTTTTCTTGAGACTAGATAGTTTTATATTTTCCAATTCGAGGTCTTAACTGGTAAATTAGTATGTGTTATACAACAAAAATAAAAATGAACTATAATTTAATTGAATTTATAATACCGACAAAGAAAATGTTTAAATCACTTTTTAGTGGATTATTATTTTAAGGAATATTTTAATAATTTCATTTTAAGGAATAACTATGTCATTCAGAATCTCCTTTTGTTTTATAGCACAGTCATAATTTTGTGAAATTTTCTCGTGTTAAGACTAAAATTCGTAACGGCACTAAATATTTTCATCAACTTTTAAGACCTATAATTTCATTCGAGGTCGTGACTCTTAAACAATAAATTTATCATGACGATTCTGCACGTTCTGTATCATAAACATTTTTTTACAAATCATCCGTAGATCGTTTTTCACGTGTCATAAACTTTGTTAAAAGAACAGACAAGTAAAAGCCCGGCAACTTAACGGTAAGTCCTCATCTTATGAAAAAATCAAAATGTGCATTTTGTATATTTTAAATTTCCAAAGAAGTTGTTTTTGCCAGAAAACAAGATAGTCTTGCTATTTTAATATATTTCGATGTTTGAACTCATTTTGAATCATTTGAGACCAAACTTGGAAAAAGTTTGTATGTATGACCTATTGTCAACCTTTACTCAAAAACGGCTGCACCGATTTTAAAATTAAATTTAAAAACCTTAAGATTAAACTTGTTAAGGACTCGCATTTTATATTTAGCAGAAAAGTGCAAAATTTATTGTCCACATTTTAGCCGATTTTGAAAATTAAAAAACTGTTCGAAAAATATAATCGAGCTGATTATATTTAGATGAAAATCGGCTAAATTAAAATTTAAAAAAAAGTTTGTAATTAATCCTAACATGGTTTAGAGTTTAAAATCTATGCGAACATGATGAAATATTAAATGAAAGAAGTGTGGTTGAATTATGAAAAGTCATTGAAATTTGGTATAATAAGTTGCCTTTTAGGATATGCAATCGAGTGTTTGTGCTCCATAATTAATATAATAATTAAATATTTAATAAATCTGTTAGAAATATATCGATTGAAATCCATTTATTCGAAATAAACATTTGAAAAATTTATCTAAATTACAAAACTTCTTATTGGTTAACTCGATTATTAAGACGTTTTGGGAAGTACATGCAACTTGCCAAGTCAAATATATTTTTTATTGCAAACTATATGCAATAGGGTATAGCAGGGCTAAAAGCAATTTGGTTAAAAAGGTCTATCATAAATATCTCTAAAAGGATTTTTTCATAACAAAATTTGAAGTTGGGGGAAAAATATGTATAATCAGCCAACTCCTTAATTCTTATGACGTGGCTATCTGGAGGTAAATGGCAATATTGGAAAATCTATAACCAAAGTATTTTCTGTCGTTACCAGTTTTTTTTGTTTACACTGTTATTTAGTTTACGAGACATTAACATAATTTTTAAATATACTTTATTTAATTGTTCTACAAGATGTATTGTCAATTTTAAGTTAGATTCAACAAAAATTTTTTCATTCCTTATAAGTAACTCACATATGGGTAGAGTAAAAAGGACCAATCGAACATTTACTCTGACAAAGGTGTAAACAATAAAAAATAGTAAATAAAAAATAAATTAAGTTAAAGATACCTATTTTACAAGTGATAAATAAATTAGTAGTTATTTCAACTCTGCTGATGAATATTTCTGACGAAATACCAAATCAATGTTATATATGCATTGGTTGAAAGCATAGCAATTTTACAAGAGATAAATTAAATTAATAGTTATTTCAACTCTGCTGATGAAAATTTCTGACAAAATACCAAATCAATGTTATATATGCATTGGTTAGGGTTCATTAATTTAGCTATTATTTCATAAAATTTCCTTTAAATTAAAAATGAGACATTATATCTGTTTCTGTTTTTTCTGTTAGCCTAGCCAATGGGGTAAATATGGGCAGATGACAAATTTTAGTAAAATAGCCGAAACACATATTTCTATAATTAGGTATTAACAGGGAATTCTACTGAAAATTGTACGATAGTTGTTCGTTTGACTCGTGTGTGTTGTTATATTTTTCATTTGGTTTAGACAGTATAACTACTTAAAGTCAAATTTGACCTTTGTGCCCCGCCCTACCCTATATTTATTTCGGCCGACTACTTCTGAGTGTTTTATATATTTTTATTTACTATAGTAGAATTTCTATTTACGATTACGATAGTAGAACGTTCATAAAGGAATTGCAGTTGTTGTACATGAATAAGACAATGGTTTTATATTCCATTGACTTTGTCTGAATATTTTTATCGTTTTCAAAAACATTAAAGCGGCGATTACAAATTGACAATAAAAAATTATCTTTCGCAACAAAAGATTCTTACAATTGCCGATGATGAATATATATATATACATATAAATATATTTGTGTGTGCACAATATATTTATTGTTAGTTATACAGTCATGATATCTTGGCGTTGATTGCCTTTTGCGTTAATTAACTTTACCATTGTGCTTGTACCAGTTTTTTTATGATTTATCATTCAGCGTGACTGACTTCAAATATATATATATATATATATATATATATATATATATTTGTATTTATGTAGACGTTCATTTATATAGACATTCTCATTGTACACATGTGTGAAATAAAACAGTTTCAAACTTTTAATTGCTTCTGTTAAGATGTTCCAATTATTTTTTGTGTTACAAACGCACGCATACATATCTTTAAATACAGATGTCAGAAAATAAATGTAAGATGAACGAATATAATTTTATATAACAATTAAATTGTATTAATTGTCTCAAGTACGAGATATAATTCAGCACGCTTTTTTATTTTGGGTGTCAATTAAGAGTTGACATACTTTTCATTTATTTCTGACAGATTAACTAATGTATTTGATACAAATTTTTTAGGCATTTTGAAGAGTCTATTAATTTATTAACTAATCCTCTTTGTGCCCGTATATCTTTTAGTTCATATTCCAAATTTTTCGATATTTTACCAAATTGTTGTGGCTCTTTTCGTGTGATGACGCACAAATTTCATATCAAACTTTATAACGTTGCCAATATAACCAATATCAACATTTATGACCTTCACTAAACTTTTCAACCCGAAAAAACATTTTCATGCAAATAACAAAAATACTATTTAAGGACTATAAAAACAGGTTTTTTAATTTATTAATCAGTATTACGTACTTCTAGTATAAACTTTACTATTGCTATGCCATGCTATATATACTCTTTTTTTACATATCTAACATTTTTGATCCATATGTTTTTCTACTTTTAAGTCTTGTTTAAAATTCTGTTCCTTTTTCTGCATAATTAACTTGAAAATTTAGCACTTGTGCGAGGTAGTCAAAAAGTTAGTTTTCTTAATTTTGAAAAGTAAATGTTTTTGAAAATTTAGAATTTATTAATGTGAGAGGCTATTATATTCCGTCCTTGGAAATTTGTATTCAGCATTTTTCTCATTCATAACGTATTGCTTCATATAAACATACTTGTTGTATGTGTATCATTTTCAATTATTTGAGGGGTAGTTATGATTGTATTATCAAGTAATTGCAAAGATTCAATTTGAACCTATATACTACCTATACTTTTCGAAAACCCGGGACAATCCGGGACAAAAGATCTAAAAAAATCAGGACAAATATTGCTTTTAAAGAATGCTTATTCGACATTCCATAAAAATCTGCATATCCTGCTATTGAGATGAGTTTAGACAATGGGTTAATTATATTTCCAGACTTCAGAATTTTTGTTTATAGCCGGAACAAATTTTATAACTTATGCATGATATATATTCTCTATCTAATAAGTGTAATGTCGTTTATTCTTATTCAAGGTATCTGCAAAAAGTCTCGATCGATGTTCTTGGAATTGGACGCAAGTGCCGCCAAGAGCGCCCAATCGCCCCACACGCCACACGCACCACGCACACCGGAACTAAAGAAATCAAATACTCAGGTTAGTATTTTAAATCAAATCAAATAAGATAAGGGGGCGTCCATTAATCACGTGAGGTTTTTAGGGGGAGGGGGGGTTTGACCAGAAATCACGAAATATCACGTGGGGGAGGGAGGGGTATGGTAAGATATCACGTGTATTTATTTTTTAACTATTTTTTTTTTAAAAAGTTCAAACATTTTAAAAATAAATTCAAAAAATTTACAGTTTTTTCACGTACTTGAAAATACACGTGATGTTTGGTAGGGGAGGGGGGGGATAATTTTGAATATCACTATGTATGGGAGAGGGGGGGTCCAAAAATCCTTAAAATCTCGCTCACGTGATTGATGTTCGCCCCCTAAGATGGAACACAGCGTCAAAATATTTATTCAACAAACTTTCAATTGGCATACGTATGAACTATAGCAGTTTACTTTCACATAGAGATATACCTTATATTAGCGACTTCAAAATAATAATATGAGAAAATGTATAACAAACATTAAACTTCTTACATAATTTCGTGTTAAAATCTTCCCGACGTTTGGTTTTTATTTTTGAAATCTTTACAAGAGCAAGCACAATTCTAATGTATTCCATGGTACCCTCGCCAGCACTTTCCAGTCAATTTTTAAATTTGTTGTTATTGACTTCCTGAAGAAGTTTATACGCACGAAAAAATCCGACTTGCTAATTAATGTTTTCTCGACGTTTTAAATCATTTTGAATCGTTTGAGACCATATTTGCTGTGTATGTATATGTGTACAATGCGCCTATTTTTACCTTTCGTCGAAGTTTTCTCAAAAACGGCTGCACCGACAATTTAAAAGACATTCGATATAACTCAAAAAGTACTAGCCTTTGCCCAACGATCTTTTTCCATTGTAATTAACAGAAAAGTGTTACATTTTTCGTCCACATTTTAGCCAAATATTCTATGTTATAAATTAAAATACCATTCAAATAATTTTGGGAATCGTGTTGATTAATGATTAATTGTTGGAAAAAAAATACGATCATTCTAATGAAGTCAGTGTGGAAACGTGCTGATTAATTTAGTCAAAGATCTGCTGGGCTGTTTCTTCTTAATTAAATGTACATATTTTGTAATATTTAAACGTTTAAATAAATATAGAATGACGATTGACTAATCTAACCAAATATCTTAAAATATTATAGTCCTACGATAGTGGTTCAACCAAAAAAATTCATTGCAGCTTACTAAACGCAAACGTCATATAAACATGTGTTCATGCATAATAATTAATTTAATTGCAGTACCCTGTACGATATTATAAGTTTGTTTGAAACATTTCAATATAAAGCAACAATTTTATTTTCGAAATAAACTGTTGAAAACTAAACAGCTAAATCTCAATTGTTTATATAACTTGATTATTTACACGTATCAGGAAGTTCTTGCAACTCGCCTTAAGGCACTTACGCCTAGTTTATTTATATTTCGTCTTTCTCTTACAATTTTAAACCATTTGCTCAACAAAGAAAAAAAATAATTACAAAAATAAAAAAAAATAATTTTAAAAAGGAAAAAATTAATTGGCCATAATTTGAAGCTAACTAGACAAAAAATGTAGAAAAACTACAATAGTGAAATTGGTGATAGAATGCCTTTAGCTCCTGAATCGAAATCAAGATCATTTGATTGTTAAGTATAATATTTCCGTGAATATATGTTATATTCTAGAATTGCATACATAATATACTTCTTAAGTGTTTTTACAATTTATATTATATTAATTAAAAATGGGTGAAGGTTTTCAACCCCGAAGACGTGGTGAAGAGTAGCGAAACGAGAGAAGAGATCAAAATCGAGACTGCAGAAATTTCGAGCAAATTCAAATTCTTTGAGACTTATCAACCTAAAAGTGTTGAGAGAAAGCCATTTAGAATCACGCCTCCCAGAGAGGGCGTTGTTAAGGTTGTGGTGTTATGACATTGTGTGGAGCTATTAACATTTGGCTTGTTTGATTTGAAAATCTGTGTTGTTTTCAGGATTGTGTGTTTCTGATTAGAAATAATTTACTACAGCAACCAAATTGCTCTTTGTAATATTTTGATTTGGATTTTTTGTATCTTTCAGAAAATGAGGATTCATATTTGAGATATTTCTATTTTTATTACAATGATTAAGAGTTATTTCAGGATATTGATATAAATAACCAAATGTCATTTCAATGCATTTAAAACATTCAAAATCAACTTATTTTAAATACATATATGGTCATTGAAAGTAATGAAATAATTTACTTTTATTATTTTACTTTTTATCGTGTAATTTTCAATTACATACAAGACCATATTTCATTTCAGTTGTGATAATTTAGATAAAAATAATTTTCTTTATGTTTAAAAATGGTTTTAGGACTCTGATATCAGTATAAATTAGATTCATTCAATGTTTCTTAAATTAATATTTAATAAAGCATCGGCTCGTCATATAAACAGTTAAAAATCATCTTTGAATTTTAAGTATAATTTAGAAATCAGAATCATTGAAAGTAGTGAAATAATTTGTTTTGAAACTTTTACAATTTTTTATGTAGTTGTTAATATATTATGTTAAATTGCATAATTAATTTGCTTAAAATATTTATTCCAAACAATTGGAAAGCACGAATATTTGTGTTTATTTATATACTAATAGTTACTAATTTTGAAATAATGTATACTTATAATTGTATGAAATTTATGTGCAAAGTGCTTACATAATTTAAATAAAAATTGGGAAAAAAAACTGACCTCCAAGAATAATGTGTTACCACAGCCATTTTTCTTTCCTTAAAATTATTCCATGTGTTAAGATGGTAATGAAAGAATAAAAAACCAGTTGTTTTATACAAATATTAAATTTGATTGTATGATGATAACATTAACAATATTTTTTGCATGTTTCTAAATATTTAAATGTAAATTAAAATTTACTAAATTGCTATATATGTCATATGCATCAAGCTAATCTGTTTAATTCTTCAACAGACCGAATCACCAGAACGAGAAGTCTACAGGGATCCATCCATTGTCACTTCTGACAACAAGAGTAATGATGAAAATGGTGATGATCCAGAAATTGCCGAAAAGAGCCACACCGCTACTAAAATGTTGAATATCTTCAGACAGATGGAAGAACGAAAGGAAACACAGCCACAAGGTATATACCAAAGAATTTGTAACTCCATCCCGATTATTTGTTTTAAAAATACTAACCCACAATGCAGTCATGCAGAACTTTAATTCAATATAAATATCGATTTAGTTAATTAATGAATTTAATTTTTCTAAAGGTCCTAAACCCTTGAAGAGGTTTACACCTCCTCCAGAGGAGACCCCAAGGAGGTTCCTGGATACCAATGACCAGAGTGACAACTCTGGTGTTACTGACAGTGATACTGATGATGAAGTTCAAAATGAAAATGAACCTCAGAATGGTCACCATCAGAATGGTGTCGGTAGGGATGGTGTTGATTATGTTAAAGCGAGTGACAAGTGTGAGGATGAATTTTTGAAACAGGTAAGTGCTGGAATTAATGGATTAGTATTGTCTGAAAAAAAACTAGCTATAAGAAAAGTAATGAAACATTTGGAAATTAAAATAATATTTATTAAATCTAATATTGGAGTCATAAAAAATTTCTTTGTTTTTCTATATACTCGGTTAGAATTAAATAGCCAAACAATTTTTGTTGTGTTTAGCCAATATAAAAAAATAGTTCAAAATATTACATTTATTGAATATTAATTCATTATCAATTATTGGTTAAGAAGGTGTAGATATATATTAAATGTTTTTATTAACTTGTTCCAAATATAACACATGCTAGAAATAAGTATAAATGAAAAGTATATTTAACTTAATTATTTTATTTTAGTAACAAAAATAATTAATTTAATCTAATGTCACATCCATTCCACATTTACATTGTGTTTTATAATTAAAGGCAAGAAATGAAGCAAGAGCCAAACAACTCAGAGCCAAATTTGAGAAATGGGAAAGCAATGAAATCAAAAGGGAACAAAGTACGATAAATGTTCTTGAAGAGTGCCAAACTGAAAATAATGACTCACAATTAGAAAGTGCCAAAAGGTATAAATATATTTAATATTTGTATATTATGTAATTCATAACATCATGATAATGCATTAAGTATAAAAAAACTTAATTTATTTCATGTTAAATCAATATCATAATAAAGACAAATTAGCAAGCAAATTAGAATGACATGAAATATTTAAATTTATTATTTTATATGAAGTAACAACTAGCAACAATTTTTTTTTACTGAAATATTGAAATCAATATTCAGTCTTCGCACTAATGATATAATACTATTTTTTAATTCATAATTTGATTTTTGTTGCTTCCTACAGCTTTTTATGATAACTGCCTAGATAGCACAACACAATCCAATGATTATATATATGTAATTTATCTATATTACAAATTATTCTTCATGTATCGTTCGTTGGCATGTCTTAGCCAACTTTTAATTGCTTCTACAACAGCATATTTTGTTTCATTTGGAAAGTTTTTGAAAACTGTCTGTAATAAATAAAAGATTAATTAGATCTTATAATTAATTAAAAATTAATAGCAAAAAAAAATTATAAAATACCAGTGATGATTTAATTGATATGTATAATCTTTTGATAAACTTATAATAAATATAGCAGGTTATTTGAATTTTTGGAATGTTTTGGCATTTTTTCAGTATAACATGGTAGTTTTTTCCTTTGAATTATTTTTATTGAATTGAAGAGGATGTAAGGATGTATTATGGAGATCACTTTCTCAGAGTACACATTATAGGAGTGTTGTCTGTAATAATAAAAGATTTCAACTAATTTTTTTTTATTATTTTCAGTCTGCGGGATAGATTTGAATCAATGCGCGAGATGACGAATCAAATGAACAAGTCACCACGTGTAAAAGTGAATCGATTTGTGGTAAGTTATTTAAAATATTTTTTTCTAAATTTAAACAAATACATACAAATAACGCGCGATTGTGTAAATAGTCTTGTTATCCATTTACAAATTCTGTGATTGCGATCTGAACTTTTGTGCAAGGTTTTTTTTGCCAGTTCGGCCGAACTTTGATATTTGATTAATGCTTTGATTAATTTCTCATAATCTTGATGTGTTTAGATGTGCATGAGTTTGAAACGTCTTTTCTTTGCTAATGATTAAAAACATTTACTAAATCATAATTCCATCACCATAAAAATATACAGTTTTTGATTTTTTAGAATATAATATAGGAGATTCTCATTGTAAAAATGATTTTCATTTCGTTTTATTGAAATTGTGAGCAATAGAAATTAAATTTTGTTTGTATACACATAATAGTAATTATATATTACCACATATGTGAATATGTAGATTACAAATTTCTAAATTTATTTCCACCAGTTCGTATATTCTGGATTTTCTAAACTGTCTTTATTATATTTGTATAATTTCCATAAAATAAGATTCTTTATTTCTTACTTTTCAACGTTAGGCTTGAAATTATTGAAATGGAATTTCAAAAGTTTGTACAATTAATAATGTGAACAATATTAATCTTATAATACCTTCACTTCAAATCTATGCAAATTTTTTATAAGTATTGTTATAAAAGTCTGATCAGTTTTTGTCAATTATTAGTTGACATATGCAATTATGCATTATATTTCAGCACATTAATTTATCCATTATTTTCAAATTAGTATAACAGTATAACAACTTGTAGCTTAGGCCACGGTAATATTAATGAATTTGCTGTACAGAATTTCTGTCAGTTGTCGTTAGATAAAATTTGCTGAGAAGATATCGAATATTAATTACAATTGGCTGATGATAAAATAAAACATATATTTATTAGTGACCAATTTATTCTCATTGGCTAGTCTTCAGAATTGAAGTTTATGAAAAACTTCCACTATATATAAGCAATACATTTTTGGGATTAACGAACAACTATAATTTAAGTTTAGTTAATATGATTTTTAGATAGTTTTATATCACATCACTTCATCTTAGATGTAGAGACGTGTGATACTGTGTATGAGCATGATAACACCGGCAGTACTAATAAAAAAACAAGTTTTTGTGAATGTGTTTGTCAAATTTTAGATGTTAAAAATAAATAAGTATATGCAAATGTGCACATAGGATACATGTAACACATAAATAGTGAATTTGATGTTGCTGTTTGATACTGATGCACGAAATTGACGTTTAAAATTAAACTAAATCATAGTCAAATTAATATGTCCACAAGCGTCCAAATTTCATTCATGAAAACTATATACACAAGATTAGAAATAAGATGCATGGTGTTAAAATGAATTTCTGAAGTGTGTATGTTTGTAAATACAAAATAACAACTAGAGCAATCTTTTTAGAAGTTATTACTGGATTGTTTGGAAAGTAAGTTTTTTATGTCCTACGAGGACCAAGTGATTATAAATAATCAAATTTGATAAATTTTACCTCGCCCTTATTATGTGTCGTTATTTGCCACTTATACTATTTGATTGAAGTTGCCATAACGTTCTTTTGTCTATGGCAGTAGAATTTTTTGATACCGAATACTGGGATACCATACAAATTTTTGGCGGTATTAATACCGAATTTTAATTCACCTTAAAATTTTTGATCATTATCACTAGTTGATTCAGGAAATCTTCCATTTACTCATAATTAAATTTCGCCTTTATGACTCATCGACTCAAAATAAGAAATAGCTTAGACAACAACATGTTTGTTAAAATCTTACTTCAATTTCCATAAATAATAATTATTACTTGAACGAATTATTGCAATACGTATTAGAAAATAGAATTGAATTTTTTGATTTTTTTAAAAACAGTAGTAATACCGCTTTAAAAGCAAACACATCAAAATACAGGTATCAAATTTATTTAGCGGTATATGTTGCATTTTCTAAATCGCAACAACAGAGGGCTGTGTGTACTTTGCGCCGTAAATATTGCTCTGAAATATAGTCTGGTTAGAGTTAGTCTACCTGTTTTCGATTCTTAAGCATACTTACCTGGCGTCGGGGTTACCGTGATCAACAAGGCGGTTCCCCCAGGGCGAGGTCTGGCCATTGCACCTGGGTCGGATTGACCCCTGCGATTGTCTCTAATGTGGATAACTCGGGCGTGTAATTTTTGGTAGTCGGGACTGCGTACGCGCTGTCCCGGTAATAAAATTTAATATATTAAAATATTTCAAATTCTGATGATTACATTAATATTAAATTAAATAGTTGAATACAATTTTCTAAAGTTTTTGTTCACATTGGAAAACTCGAAGTGGGTGTAACCATATCCAGAGACCTAAACAAGCGCCAAAGATGCCTTATTAAATTTATTGCACTAATATAACTTTTAGTATTAAAATTAAAATCTTATTTTCGACATACAATTTTTTTTCTTCAAAAGCAATTGCTTTGTCAACACAAGCGGAAGGTTTTTTGACTCATTTGAATCGGATACTTAATTCTCTCAAAAACTGCTATTTTTTGTACATGTAGCTCTGTATCATTGAAATGGCTGGACCTGACTTTGCCAAAAACTGATCACCAGTTCTCCCAATCATTACAAATGAATAAATTTTGTATAATTCAGAACAGTTTTGGATCATTCAATTCGGATACTCCGTTCTCTCAAAACCTCGATTTCTATTTTCTGCACTCTTTGCTCCGTATCTCCGTAACGGCTGGACCTTCTTTAGCCAAATACTAATCAGCACATCTACCTATTAATAGGAACAATTAATTATTTAATTACGGCCCATTACTATAACCTACCCTGCTGGAAGTTAATAAGATCTAGCTTAGACAACGAAATGTTTCTTAAAATTCTATTTCAATTTCCATAAAAACTAATAATTACTTGTACAAATTAATGCAATATATATTAGAAAATAGAATTTAATTTTCTTACGTTCTCAAATTAAATATTGCAATTTTTATAGTATATTTTAATTTTGTTTGATTGTTTAAAAATAGTCGTAATACCGGTTTTAAAAGCAAAAACATCCAATCCAAATACAGGTATCAAATTTGCATTTCTGCAACATGTTGCATTTCCTAAATCACGACAACAGAGGGCTATGTGTACTTTTCGCTGTAAATATTGCTCTAAAATATAGTCTGGTTAGAGTTAGTCCACCTGTTTTCGATACCTAAGCATACCTGGTTAAAAGCGCAGTTCGTATCGGGGAAACAACTATCTTGGTGCAAGGCGCGAAGCTGTGATACAGTTACTTGTTATTAGTGTAAAAAATTATCAAATGTATGTGGTGTAGAGTGCGTGTTTGTAATAGTGTAAATAATGGAATCTTCTAATAATGGAAAGCCGTCGACGACACAGCGTACAATGGAGACCGTAGCATTTCCGCCACGAAATCGACTACCGTTCAGGAATGTGTTTGATTCGCGTACTGACAAGCCGAGGCCCGATGTACTCAAAGAACACTTTATAAGGGAAGGTCGGATCGATGAAACTGTAGCACTC